CCCAGCCTGTAATCCCAGCACTTTGGGAGGCCGAAGTGAGCGGATTGCCTGAGCCCACGGGTTCGAGACCCGCCTGGGCAACTTGGCAAGACCTCATCTCTACAATAAATTTTAAAAATGAGCCGGGCATGGTAGCGCGTGCCTGTAGTTCCAGCTACTCGGAAGGTTGAGGCAGAAGGATCACCGGAGCCCAGCAGGTCGAGGCTGTGGTGGCCGGTAGCGGTCACTGCACTCCAGTCTGGGTGACAGAGTGATACTCCAACTAAAAAAAAATAAATAAATAAATAAAAGCTTGCATCCAGAAGGCAACCTCATCTCCTACACCATGACTCTGGTCCATTAACCTTCACTTGGACTAAGGCAGTAACCTCCATCCACCCTGATCATCTTCCCTCCTCCCTCAACCCCATAGTCTGTTCTCCATGCTGCAGACAGATGGCACCTGTTAAGAATCTGGTAAGATCACCTCCCTCTTCTGAGACCCAAACTTCCCATTGCCTCCAAAATAGATACCCAACTTCTCAGGCAGCCATTGCAGTCCTGACTCCTTCCCCTGCTCTATTCCCACCTAAAAGGAAAAAAATCTGTGGTTTCCTGAACATCCTCAGCTCGTTTTTACCACTAAGTATTTGCACATTCTGGTACCAGTTCCAGGGATAACTTTCCACATTTTACACTTGCTGCCCAAAACGGGAACACACCTGCATATAATATCTGACACAAACTCCAAGGACCCTGGGCTTGGAGTTTCTTCAGGGCACCAGACCCGAGGATTGGAGGAATAGCACTTGAGTCTAAAAAGCCATAACCTAGAGAACTCGTGGGTGACGGATGGAAAAACTAAAGGAATACCCTCTATTTCCTTGTACAGCGTTCATAACCCCCTTCTACAGCCATGAAGACCATGAAAAGAGGCAGGACTTAAAAGACTGCGTCAGGGCAGAGCTCCAGGGTCCTGAAATCAGGTGACCTCAGGTTGGCTGTCTTACCTCCGTGCCTCAGTGCTCACTGTCACCTCTTACCAACTACAGGACTCTGAAAAAAGACGAAACCTCCCAGTGCCTCAATGTCCTCATCGCCCCTTCCACTCTGCTCTTCCTCTGAACAGTCTTTGCAGAAGTTTTAAAACTCTAACATAGGTGGTACCCCCCCCCTCCTTTGCTCAAGACTCTCTATGGCTTCTCGAGTTCTCACAACGAAGACACAGTCCTGAGCCTGCTCTCCGAGAAGTAACTCTGCCTCGTGCTTTGTTCCCTGCAGAAGACGGATCCCAGGTTTTCCGAATTCCAAGCATTTGAACAAACCTATCCCTCTGCCTGTCACACTCTCCCACACCTTTTCTCACCGGATGTCAGAAGGACCCACCCGCCAGTGCCTCACTGTCCGGGACGCAGGGGCTTCGGCTGCAGGGAAGCGAGCAGACGCTCGTCACCCGGGGTCTTTGGACGTGGGTGGGTGAGGGCGAGGGAGGCCCGGAGGACTGAGCGCTTACCTGGACCGGGTCCCTCAGCGCGGCCGCCGCCATCGGACTCTGTGGGCGGAGCGGGGCCGGGAGCGTCGGGCGACCGGCGGGAACCCGGGCCCGGCAGCCCCCAACCCAGTCCTGGCGCGGATCACCCGGGGTGGTGTCGCAGACGGCAACCGGGACGACGACCCCTCTCCCGCCTCCGCGTCCCGATCCCGCACTCCCGGGCTTCGGACCCTGTGAAAACACCCCAGAGGAGCCAAAATGGCCGCCACGAAGACGACGCAGGAAGTCCCGCCCCTCTATTTTGTGATGCACGTGGAAACGTCTATTTCCTAAGCTCTCATTGACCCAGCGCGCTGCCGCTCACCGCAGAGCATTCTGGTTGATGTCGTTTCCAGATATCCAGTGAGCGCGGTTGAGCGCGCTCCCCACGAACCTCTGGAGTAACGGCTAAGCGGGAAAATGGCCTATCCAGGTTCTAGAGCTGAAGGCAGGCTTTCTTCTTTCTTTCTTTTTTCTTTTTTTTTGAGTTGGAGTCTCACTCAGTCGCCCAGACTGGAGTGCAGTGGCCGCTCCCGGCCACCGCAACCTCGACCTGCTGGGCTTCGGCGATCCTTCCGCCTCAGCCTTCCGAGAAACTGGAACTAC